TTTCTCCAGTTCATTCTTTGTCTGCTTTGTTTCCGTATTTTGCCATTAAAAAAGTGTATACATTGTGTTTTAAATGCAGGAAAGTGAAGCTCATCTATTTTTTCTTTCCTAACTCTGAGCTGTTATGTTTTGATTTAAAAGCTTGTCTAATTCCAGGACTGTGCTCCTGTTTTCCTAAAATATCTTCAAAGATTCTTATTACCTATTTTTTATATGCCTGGAATGCATTTTTATTTTTGTATTCAGTGGCATTAAAGTGTAGTGGTTAAGATCACAGACTCTGGTTCTGTTGTTACCCATGTGACCTTCGACAAGTTACTTAGCATTTTTGTGCTTTAATTTTCCTCTCCTGAATGGGAATGACAGTAAGACCTATCTCCTCAGGTCGTAACGAAGCTGAAATGAATTTACAAGATTGGAAAATAGGGAAGATGAGTGTTTCGGATAGTATCTGGTACATGGAAACATAAATGTTGACTATTATCTGATGTATGTATCTCATTTTTTTCCCCATATGACTAGGATAACAGTTGTCCTGATAACATTTATGGAATAGTTCATTCTTTTCTCCAGTTGATTTAAAATGTCATCTCTATTGCACAATGCATTTTAAGATATGTACTTCTCTGTTTTTAGGCTTTATAGCCGATTTCATGACTTTTTTTTAATCCCCTGTTCAAGAACTATAATGGCTTAGTTACAAAATATTTATATTTTGTAAATATTGTTAACTGATGAATGAAGTCCGTTACTTTGTTCTATAAAAGTATTTTGGCTTTTCTTGGCTTTCTTTTACTATGTGTGTGTATATGTGTGTTAACCCAGGAGTGCTGTACTACTGAGATACACTTCCAGCCTTTTTAAAATTTTTATTTTGAGTCAGGGTTTCTCTAAGTTGCCAAGGTTAGCCTTGAACTTGGAATCTTCCTGTCCTCCACTTCTGAGTTGCTGGGATTACAGACATGCACCATGGAGCCTAGCTCTTCCATATAATTTTTTAAAAACTCACCAGAATTTATAAAAACTCTGTTCGTTATTAAATCTTAGCACAAGAGAGAGTGATACTAATTGGCTAGGGTTAGAACGGAACCTGTGATCTTATTAATACTTTGACTAGTGGAAGTTTTTAGAAATTTTCTAGTTATATAATCTAGAGGTTGCTATCATCCACTGTGTTAGGTAGATACTGAAATATGGTTGAATAAAACAGTGCAAAAAGATAGATCTCTAGCCTGTAGTTCACAAACTGTACCCTAAGATACCCTAGGGTACCTCAGAGAACTTCCAGGCATAATTCATACTTTCTACGGAAACAGCAACATCTGTTGAACACTGCAAGATGCTTTGAATATTCTGTTTTCCCACTTTCATTTCATTGCTGTGATTCTTTGTGATATTGGGCTTTTAGTTTTTGCTGTGATAAAAAGAAAGTGCCATGTAGAAATCATTGTGGAATAGGAAATGTATGTGGCAGTATCTAAAATAATTCCTGAATTTGAGAAGATGTGTAATGCCCAATAGGTGCATATATCCCATAATAACTGATTGTGGTTATTAAAAAAAGAAATTAGAGTTTTTTTCAGTTAATGTGTATTATTTTTTCAGAAGGTTACTACTAACTTGTTAGGACAGAAATACTTATCATTTGTATGCCCTTAACTTTTTTTCATTTTTAAAATTCTTATTAATTATACATGACAACAGAATGTATTTTGACATATTATACATATATGGAGTATAACTTCTCATTCTTTTGGTTGTACATGTTGTAGAATCACATTGGTCATGTAATCACACAGGAAAGTAGTGTCCAATTCATTCTACTGTCTTTCCTATTCCTATTGCGCCCCCCCCCCCCCACCAATTCCCTTCATTCCCCTTTGTCTAATCCAAAGTACTTCTATTCTTCCCTATCTCTCCTCACTCACCTCCTTATTGTGAGCTAGGATCCACATATTAGAGAGAACATTTGACCTTTGGTTTTGGGGGATTAGCTTATTTAACTTAGCATGATAGTTTCCAGTTCCATCCATTTACTGGCAAATGCCATAATTTCATTTCTTTTTATGGATGAGTAGTATACCCTTGTGTATGTATATGTGTGTGTATATATGTATATGTGTTTGTGTGTGTGTGTGTGTGTGTGTATATATATATATATATATACACATGCATACATACATATACCATATTTTTTTCCCACTCATCTGTTGAAGCATACTTAGGCTGGTTCCATAGTTTAGTTATTGTGAATTGAGCTGCTATGAACATTGATGTGGCTGGGTCACTATAGTAACACCTAAATATTAAATAAATGGAACTGTTAGATTTTCCTTTTGGCCTAGGGAATTTGTGAACAAATGTACTGAGAAAATAAGCACCAGGAGCTAAGAAAGTTTCAGAACCTCTCTGCCTTAACAAATATGTTGTTACTGTTTAAAGATTAAGAACATTTGAGGTGCTGTGTGGATAAAGGATATGCTATGCTTGCATGTAATAGGGTGAACCAATCTTTCTGGGCACTGGGGATAGACAGCACTTCAGGGAAAGTTATGTTTAAGCTGAGCCCGAAGGAAGCCAAGGTGTTGACTGGAGAGAAAGGTAGTGGCAGGACTAGTTGGTGCAAAGGGGACAGAAGCTTGAGGAGGACCAGTAGGAGAGTGAGTGATGGCAAGGGGGCAGGAGATAGGCAGAGGCCAGGTCACATAGTGGAGGTCCACTTAAGGAGTTTCTTTAGACTTTCACATAAAAGGCAGTGGTAAACCTTTTGATAGGTTTTAAGCGAAGAGAGAGTATCTTAGATCACTGCCATCCTATTAGAGCAATAAAATACAAAAATGATATCCATAAATATTTAAGTAATGCTATGTATTCTAAATAATATAGAATGAATTTTTTTTTTTTGGTAAAAATTTGAAATGCCTTTCTTTCTAATATTTTTTTAGTTGTCAACAGGCAACTATTTATTTTTATGTGGAGATGAGAATCAAACCCAGTGCTTCATACACACTAGGCAAGCGCTCCGCCATTGAGCCACAATCCCAGCCCGTAAAATGCCCGTATTTTCAAAGGCATTTTATAAGCTTCCCTATGAATACAATTTTACCTTATTTTTTTGACTATATGTAGTTTTTTGTTCAAGTTGGTTTTTAATGGATATGGATTTTTAAAATGAAAAAATCAAAGCAAGGCAGAATGTTAGACTATAATATGTTTAAATTGATATATATATTGGTATTTTAAGTGGCAAAAGTTTGAATTTAAAAAAAAGTTTTGGGTTTTGTTTATTAGTATCTGTAATAAAATATTTGAAATAGTTAATTTGCACATTTGACTGCCAACCTAATACATTTATTTCTTTTAAGTTCCTGTATTTAAATTCAGGTGTCATTATAAAGATGTAATAGTTATACAGGAAAGAAAAAGAACCATAATTTAAGCTATGATATTGTACTTCCCATTTGCTTACATTTTGATTTATTTTACTCTAGTATTAGTATATTAATGCAATATAAAAATTTTAATAGTAATAAGAAAGAAAATAATGCAGGTTACTTTTGAAAAAAATTCTTAAGCTCATTTTTCAAGAGTTTTGGACTTGAGAAATGTATTTCATAGTCATAAAATGGGGATGGAGATGTGAAATTCTTTTCTAACATCCCTTTGTTATGTTTGGAGGTGGAGTGATAAGTGATTGGATTTGGAATTGATATTTGCTTATTGCTATAAGCAATTGAATATTAATTGAATATTAAATAATTGAATATCATTACTTCTGCCACTGTATTTCATACTTTTTAGAACTAATCACTCATTTTATAGTTCAAAATCAGTGCCATTCTTAAATTCATAATGTAAATTATAAGTAAGGGATGTGTTTATGTATTTGAGAAACAGTCTTACTGTCATTTTTTGGACTAGACTTCTCTGATGAAGAAACTTGATTATGATTTGAGCTATTTATAGGCAAGGTAATCAGCAAGAGTTTTTTTTTTTTTTTGTGTGTGTGTGTGTGTGTGTTTTAAGGAAAGAGGTAAAGCTCTAAGTTGGAAAACTTTCCCTGAGATAAAATTTGTAATAAATGTTTTCTTTAAATTTTGTTCTTCGCATGTTTAAAGAATTGACCAGACACTTAGAAAAGTTTCTGATTTCTCCTGTGTTCTTTACGTCAAAGTGAATTCTAGATGAAAATTAAATGTAGAAAATGAAACAATAAAATTAAGAGAACAAAAGCAAGACTAAAATTTTTTATAATCTTGGGATAAAGACCTTTGTAATTCTACCAGATTTAATTTTATGCAGTTTATAATTTTTTATTTTCTTATAAGAAAAATTGGAAGGCCAAATAGAAAAAGGATATTCTCAAAACGTGATAGCCATGATCAAAGATTGCTTTTTAAATTTTTTTTTTTAAAGTTGTTGATGGACCTTTATTTTATTTATTTTTACGTGGTGCTGAGAATCAAACCCAGTGCTTCACACATGCTAGGCAACTGCTCAACCACAGAGCTACAACTCCAGCCCCAAAGATTGCTTTTAATTCAATAGAATAAATAATCTATTAGAAAAATGCAGAAGAGCTATTAATAGTGAATTTGTGAACAGAATATAGGCAGTCAGTAAACATAAAAAGCTTAACAAAGAATTGTTTCAATTTTCTGCTTCATGTTCTATAGAAAATTTCACTTTGCATACACCAATTTTAAATATTTATAAATCCATTGTGGAGTTTGAAATAAAACTTTTAATAGTTACATCATCTAAGAAGACTTATCTCAAATAGAAGGTTTTCTTTTTTGATGTTCTAAATGAGTCAAATTCGACTTTGCTAATAAGAAGTAAATTTTGCTTATTAGATATTCAGAGTAAAGTGATTATATTTATGTATCATACCTAAAGAACATAAGTGCTTAGAAATAATTTGTGAACATGTTTTAGTTTCTTACAGAAGTGGTAGGAGGAAGTTTTGCCTAATTTGTTCTTTTTCTTTATTCTTGTAGGTGCCAGCATTCGAACATTCACTCCATTTTATTTTCTGGTGGAACCAGTGGATACACTCTCGGTTAGAGGCTCCTCTGTTATATTAAATTGTTCAGCATACTCTGAGCCTTCTCCAAAAATTGAATGGAAAAAAGATGGAACTTTTCTAAACTTAGTATCAGATGATCGACGCCAGCTTCTTCCAGATGGATCTTTATTTATCAGCAATGTGGTGCATTCCAAACACAATAAACCTGATGAAGGCTATTATCAGTGTGTGGCCACTGTTGATAGTCTTGGAACTATTGTCAGCAGAACAGCCAAGCTAACAGTAGCAGGTAAGTTTTATTAAGTGATTTGCTTGCAAATCATATTTTTATATAGGATAAATCTAAATAAAAGCATTTCTTGGAGTTTTCATTTAATTGATAAAAGAACATTTAACAAATAGTATAGTACTATGTTAGGGCTTGTTCAGTTCTGTATGGAAGAAGCTAGTAGTTTTTGGTACTGGGGATTGAACCCAGGGGTGCTTAACCATTGAGCCACATCCCTAGCCTGTTTTTTTATTTTTTGAGACAGGGTCTTGCTAAGTTGCTTAGGGCCTTGCTAAGTTGCTGAAGCTATCTTTGAACTTGGTATTCTCCTGCCTCAGCTTCCTGAGCCACTGGGATTAGGCATATGCCACAATGTCCAACTCAGCTTGTTTTATGGTATAGTTGGTATCAGAGGTATGACAGTTTTTTTTTTTTGTTGTTGTTGTTGTTTGTTTGTTTTGTTTTGTTTAATTTATAACTTGGAAATGGCAGAAGCTATATAGAAAAACTGTATCACTTTGACAGCTGACTTTTATCCTACCAAGCATAATAATTTGGGATAGTTTTCTGAAACTTATAGTGAAGCCAGAATCCTGGTGCCTTTATGCCTTAACCAAGGGATGGGCATATAATTAACTAATTGAAAATTTATAGCGCGCGCGCGCGCGCGCACATATATATATTAAGGTAAAGAGCAGAAACTTGTAAAGGGAAGAATATTCACTCCCTTTTGGAACATCCTTATTTGAATAATGATGAAAAGTGTTAAGAGAAATTAAGAATCTAGAGAAATAAGATGTGGTTTCTAAATAAGTCATGTCTGCTTTGTAGTGAACACCAGTGTTTCTTAAGATACATATAGTGATCCTTTAGTTGAATTCCAAATGAAGTAGTTTTTCTTAAGGGTCATGTTTTAGAAAATGGAATTTCCTGTAAATCCTGTGTTTATTCTCACTTGATGAAATGCTGGCATATGAGAATGGAATCTCACTGGATTGAGACAGTAGTCTCCTATCTCTTTCTCTCTTTCGAGTTATAGTTGCTGATCTCCTACTCACTCCAGATCGTATTGCTCATTCATTCAGAGGATGATAACTCTTTTTGTCTTAAGAGTTAAATACTCAAAAGTTGAATTGGGTATGACAAAAAGACACTGTAATTATTCCATAATCACAAATTGAAGATGCAAAAATCAGAGGAGAAAAATAAATGGTCTCTTTGGCAATTTTCCATTTTCCTCCTTTCTCTCATCCTTCCTTTCTCTCACCCATCTGCCATGCTTTCTCCAACGTGTATGATAAATAAACTAGCATAATGACTTCTACAGTGTCATTATGGCTAGGCTTCTGGTTATTATTTATGTTCTTAAATATTTTTTATCTGAGTTTTACTCATGATTCCTTCCTCTCAACTGTCCCCTACATCTCATCACCAAATCCACTGAATTCTGCCTCCCAATTTTTCTGTATCATTATACTTTCTTCTTCTTGAGACAGCTCCTCAACTTCCCTTACCACAGCCTTGTATCTACTTGTCTGCCATCTCATTCTTTCTTCCTTCAATCTAGTCTCCACACTGTGGGTCAGAGCACTTTCTCACCCTTCAATGGTTCATTTAGATAATAACACTGTTATTATCTAAACCTTTTAACCCTTTTAAAGGCCTCATGGTTCTTTTTTCAAGCTGGTACCTATTTCTCCAGGCTAATTTCTTATCATTTTATCCCCCTTACCACTGGTACTACCACATGACCCTCAGCACAGTTTTAGCACTAGCAGTGCTGAATATTTTGATCTTTATTTATTTTTTTCACTTATTCTCTGCCTTGACCTTTGCTCCTGGCGGTTCTATCCCCCCCCTCTTTTTTTTTTTTGGTCCGTTTTCCACCAGATTTAGCTCTCATGTTCTTCAGGAAACATTTTTGACACAGTATCTTAGCAGACAGTTTTAATGTAATCCTTAGTACAGGGGAGGGAGGAGGAGAGGAAGGGGAGAGTTCTGTGGTCACTGTAGGGTTCTGTAGGAGAGTTACTTAACCCACTCTTGGCCTGGATATATCTAAAGGATGAATGGAAGTGCTTTTTAATAGTTGCATCGGATGTATTGTATTTGTGATTTATTCAGTTATTTTTTGATGAGTTGTATGTGTGTTAAAATTGTTGGATGGTATAGATAATACTGTAGTGAACTGCTTTCTGCTTTTTTGCAAATCTTCATTTCTGTAAACTAGATTACTAAAATTGGGATTGCTGGATCATAGGGCACCTTGTTTGTGTGTGGATGTTTGTCATTTCATCAAAATGTTAACTATAGAGTTACCATAAGATCCAGCAGTTTCATTCCTAAGGTATCTGTTCAAGAGAAATAAAAAGTTACATCCACACAACAATTTGCACATGACTATTCATGGCAGCATTATTCATAATAGCACAAAAGGGGAAATAATCTAAGTGTCCATCAAGTGGTGAATGAGTTATCAGAGTCTGGTTTGTTCATACAATGGAATATTCTTCAGCAGTAAGAAGAATCGAAGTCTTAATTCATATGACATCGTGGATGAACTAAAAATATTATGCTGGGTTGAAGCAGGTCATAGGGCTGGGAATGTGGCTCAAGCGGTGGTGCGCTTGCCTGGCATGCGTGCGGCCCACCTTCGATCCTCAGCACCACATACAGACAAAGATGTTGTATCTGCCGAAAACTACAAAGTAAATATTGAAGGATCTCTCTCTCTAAAAAAAAAAAAAAGAAGAAGCAGGTCATAAAGAACCACATTCATGTGATCTCATATACTGGAGTTGTCAAGAATTGGCAAATCTATACAGATTGAAGGTAGATTAAGTCATTTTCTCAGGCTGACCTAGGGATGGTCTAGTGGTGATGAGGGATAGGGAGGGGAATAATACACGGAATGGGGAGTGAGCAAGGTTTCTTTTGAGAATGATAAAAAGGTTCTGAAATTAGATGTGAATGGTTGCACACCTCTTCATATATGAAAAATTCATTGAATTGTATACTTTAAATGTGAACTTTCTGGTATGTAAATTGTATATGAATAAGATAATTTTTAAAAATGATACTGTCAAATTACCATTCTAAAAGACTCTTTTAGAGCTTTTTATATGCAAACACTCAAACTGATTCCAGCTAAGTTTAGCAAGCAGGGAAGTTTTTGAAAGAACATTAAATAGATAGTTCATAGAATTAAACATAAGGCTGCTTTTTCTCTGGGCTATATGATTTCTCCACAACAGAAATTTCTGCTTTCCTGCCTAGAGAATACCCTGGCTGTGGGTGATATTTTGTGCCCCATGGTGGGAGAAATGAGAATACAGTTGTTGTTAATACCTTCTTGCCAATTCTATGTCTTAACTTTCATTTCTTTTTTCTTCTGCAATTTCTTCTCTTGAAAGGCAGTAGGACAACTGACTTCCCTCATGTGAGTACAGGAAGCAGCAGCATTCTCTGCCTTGATATGTCAGTTCCTGGTTGCCCCATCTGCTTTTCCTATTCAGAAACTTTTTGAAATTTCTTGCCTGCCAGTTCCCCATATGTTGTTGTGGGTTTATACTTTTAAAAATTACTCATTTTTATAAGACCTCAGAAGTCCTTTTAACTTTAACAAAATAGAAGCAGTTTTGGGTTTTATTTAAGATTCCTTTTTCCCCTGACTTCATTAGATTTTGGATCTATCTTGGTCAATCCCTTTTTTCCTGGTTTTCTTCTGGTTGCTTAAAAGTAGATATTAGAATAATTTTGCCTTTATTTCATTTCTTCAAAAATCACCTTGAAATTAAAAGAAAAAAACAAGGAAAAATTGTGCCAGGGCTAGAAAACCCATACGTTATTTATATTTGGAATGATTTACCATCATAAAACTAGAAAATCTGTAATTATTTTTCATAATTTGTTTTCTGGTCCTTAAACATTTTGCTGTGTTCAGAGCATAGGTTCATGAGTCACTTTTTAGATATTGTTAAAACAGTAGTAGCTAGTGAGTATTTATGCAATAAGCAGTATATTATATGTAAATTATTTACGTTAGATAATTTTTAAAATGTGACCCTCTGAAGCCTATTGTTTTTCTCGTTTTACTGGTGGCAAAATTGAGGCTGAGAGACAGGCGAAATAGCTTGCCAACTTTGTAACAGCCATGAAAGATGGTGTTGGAATTGTATTCAGGCATGTGACTCCAGAACTGACCCTGTCTGTCTCTTCATTCTGTGGCATCTATAGAGCTCTTATGACCACAGTTTTTGGTTAACATTTTATTTGAAGTAATTTTAAACTTAAGGAATAGTTTCAAGAATAGAACAAAAAGATCTCATGTAACTTCTTCCAGATTGCCCAGTTGTTAACATTTTACCACATCTGTTGTGTCATTCCCCAAGTATGTATTTTTTCTGAACCATTAATAGTTGTAAGTTGCAGACATGTTGCCCCTGTTACCCCTACCTGAATAACATCGGTGTATGTTTGCTAAAAACAGGAACATTTTCCTAAATAATGACATGCATCCATCAAAATCAGAAAATTAATCTCAATACAATACTACCACTTAATTTAGATTTCACATTGTCTCGGTAATGTTTATTATAGTAAAAAACAAAAGCTGAAACTTTGCCATCTTCTTTCCTGTTGATCTAGGATTACATGTGTCATTTGTATCTCTTGGACTCTTTTGGTATTACATTATTCTAGATTTAGCCAGAAGAAACTCCCTTCAATCTTGATTTGTATGTGTCTTTTTATACATACCCATTGTTATTCGAGTAGTTCTTTACTGTATGTTATGAGTTTTTACCTTATATCATAAAGGAAGGAACCCGGTTGTTCTTGTACTTTTCCTGATCTGGTCCTAGAATCAGCCATTTCTCCAAGAAGCACTGATTCCTTGTAGTGGAGAATATTATTTGGAAATAAGGATAAAGTCACCATATGTACTTATTGCTACTGGAGTGACACTGATTCTGGATCCTCTGTATGGAATATAATAATATAAATACATATGTATAAGCTGTGTGTAAAATATATGCATATTTCACAAATAGTTTTATATCTGTATATTATATCTACATATAGTTCTGTATCTGTAGTTATATAAAGCTATGAGTTTATCTGATGTCTTTATTGTAGACCAATACCTTGGAATTTATTCTATCCTTGTCCTTTTCCATATTTGCAATATTTGCATCTTTTCCTACTGTGAGGAATCTTGACTACAATTATCCTTGGTACATTTAACTTATTTACTCTTTATTCCTGTATGTAGCCGGTTTCGTGATGCATGGACCTTCTTGATCCTGATGCTACCATATGTTGTGGCCACATGGCCTGACTTGCTCTTGGCTCCCTTGACTAAAGTTTTAAGTAATAGTTAATTACTTTCCCCCCCCTTTTCCTTTATTGTCCAGGACTTCCAAGATTTACCAGTCAACCAGAACCTTCTTCAGTTTATGCTGGGAACAGTGCAATTCTGAATTGTGAAGTTAATGCAGATTTGGTTCCATTTGTGAGGTGGGAACAGAACAGACAGCCCCTTCTTCTGGATGATAGAGTTATCAAACTTCCAGGTGGAACGCTGGTTATCAGTAATGTGACTGAAGGAGATGGGGGACTATATCGCTGCATAATTGAAAGTGGTGGGCCACCAAAGTACAGTGATGAAGCTGAATTGAAAGTTCTTCCAGGTATTAACTCATTATCAGAACTGATGGTTTTGTGTTTGTAAATGGATAAAAAAAATTTTTATTTAAAAAAAATAAAAACTGTTAATATGTGGTGTAATGTATTAACTATCAGTAAAAGGAGTCTCAGTTTTTTACAGGAGTTAAAAAAAAATAGGCCAGAACAATCCACTCTTTAGTGAATATATTATTAAAATTATCAAGTAATAAAGTATGTGCCATATCTAATTGAATTCTTCTTGGTCGAAGATATTTAGCCCTATGTCTTTGGTCAAGCTGCTGTTTCTCCCCACAACGGAGTATGGTTATAATTAGGTCATTTTTACTTGTAAGAATTTAAGACTAACTCAGGCTAGTTCATATAAAGGATGGGTAAGGTGGTAACTTAATGTGGTAGCTTTGGAGACACTAGCAAATGAGAGCTCTTGCTTCTCTATTGTGCTGCTCCCCCCTTTCATGTAAACTCAGCTCCTCTTTCAGTGTTGCCTGTTTTTTATGTGTCTTCTCATTCTTTCTGCCCCTACTGGCTTTGCTCATAATTGGTTTTGTATGTATTTTCTCAGCTGTCCAGCTTCTCCCTTACGCTTAACCTCCTCTCACTGTGGCTCATTATAGTCCCTCTACTTCCTTGATATTTCGTGACCTTTCAGTTTCTATTCTCATTGCTGGGTGCCTGATCGTTTCCATAGTTCTCATTTCAGATTCAAGTTTATGAATATAATTGGGCCATCCCTACATTGTTTGGGCAGAGATTGTGGTAATATAGGACTACTTTATAGGCTTATTTTTAACCTATGGACTGCCTTACAAAGTGAAACCTGTTTTATGGGATGTGACTTTTGACGGTGTTCCCAATGGGCCTTGAACTAATGCTTTAAAATGCAGCTTGTTTCATTTTTGTTACCATCCCTGCCATTTAATTCCTGTCTCAGTGTTTCTTAATTTTTAATTATTATTTTTTGCCATATGTGGGATTGAACCCATGGCCTCATGCATACTAGGCAAGTACACCCCGTCTCTGTCTCAGTGTATTCTCAGCAACCCCAGTTATCTTTGCTCAAAACCAGTGGTTTTCCATGTCACTTAAAGTTCTTGGTCTGTTCAACTTTATGTAATCTTTTCACTTCCCTCCTTTGCCCCTCCCTTCCAATTCCTGATCTTCTCTCCCTCACTCTGTCATTGTGACCACCTTATGCTGATAGAAAATTCCAAATGTTTTTACTTCAGAGGTTTTCTACTTGCCATTTTCTCTGCCTGGAATCCTATATACCTGGCTCACCCTCTTATCTCTGCTCAGATATCAGTGAACCTTCCTTAAATATTCTGATTAAATAACAGCCTTCTGTTTACACCTCCAGTGCTTCTCCTTCCTCCTCAATTTTACTTCAGAACACATCATCATCTGACATATGTGTTGTTTGTTGTCTCTCCCCCCGCCATTAGTATGTAAGGTCAACAAGAGTAGGGGATTTCATGTCATGTGAAGAATGGTTCCTGGCACATAGAAACCAATACATATTTGTTACAAATTTGTTTATTTGAGTCTATCAAAGTTCAGTTAAATATGTGTAAGTAATTAAGTGTGGGGGAAAAATTATTGCCAAAAGCAGTGTCCTTCATTCCACTTCCTTTGGGCCCTGCTTTTTTTTGGTTGGCACTGGCAATTGAACCCAGGGCCTAGCATGTGCTAGGCGAGTATTCTACCACTTAGCTATATCTCCAGCTCTTTTTTGTTTTGAGATAGGATGGCCTCTGAATCCTCCTACCTCAGCCTCCTGACCATTCTGTTCCTGACTTGTTTATTTGACATGGTAGATTTCTTCTTTACACCTAGCATAGCATTCAAGCAAATTCTCAGAATTTGATTCAAGAAAACAAGGTTTTCAGTGTCAAAGGATGAGACCATTACTCGATATCTAAAGCAAAAACAGTGCTAGATATTTTGCTGACTGAAGTCTATGAGAGTTTTGCTTGTCAGACAGTCTTCTCAAGAAAAGCTGATTGCTGATCTTCTATAGTTTTTTTTTTTTTTGTTGTTGTTGAAGGCATTGTTTTGGTTTGTATATATATAAAGAGGCAGAGGCAGGTTACAGCAGTGAATGACTTTGCCCTTGATTGATTGACTTTTAAAGCCCAGGATTGTCACTTATTGGTTGGCTTTCAAAGGCACATTCCCTGAAGTGAGGTGTCATTAATCTGTTAGGCAGTGGTTACTTGTTACCATGACTAAAGAACCATAATTAATGGACTGGACAAGTTTAAAACCATTTCTGGTAGTTGTTACCATGGCCCATAGAACACCTTTTCCTAAGTGTGGTGACATAGCTTATATCCCTCTGCCTCAGACTGGTCTTTTTTTTCCACTCAAAATTAACATTAAGTTAATATCACCCTATTAAATAAAGAACTTTATCTTTTACCCACAGGAGTATAGCCTTTTCACATTTCCACAAGAGGTCAGTTCTATAAAATGAACACATTAATTCTTTATCTGAATAAAGGATACACAAATACAGTAGTAACTTTAGTTTGCTGCATTACAAAATCAAGGATTGACAGACTAAGTGAGCAAGTTAATGAGATGAAACACAGAAAGATTTCAGAAATAATAAATCCAGGGAAGGACAGGAAACCTCTCATATCCCTATGAGTAGGAGAGAATTTCAAGAGTCCTGAACTTGTTCATTTTCTCTACTGTTTGAACCACTCGTGACATTAATGTTGTAAAATAAAGAGGATCCATGTCAAATCTCCCTTGTTTGACCAGTAAGTAAATTTAATCTAAAGGCAGGAACTATAACTTTTTTGCTTTAAGATCCCTAAACAGCCTATCACAATGCTTTGCATATAGAAATTATTTGATAAATGTTTGCTATTTTAAATAGAATTTTTTTTCTTTTTTTCAGTTGTAGATAAATGCAATACTTTTTAAAATTTTATGTGATGCTGAGGATCGAGCCTCGTGCCTCACATATGTGAGGCAAGTGCTACACCACTGAGTCACAACCCCAGCCCTAAATGTAATTTTCTTGTGTCACTTTTGCTTAAAATATTTTGTCATAAAAAGCCCCACAAGACTGAATAGGAGTTAGACATTCCTTATGACTAACTGATAAAGTGCTTTGTCTTTTATTTAAATTCTTTTTAGATCCTGAGGAAACACTCAGCTTGGTATTTTTGAAACAACCTTCTTCCTTAGTCAGAGTCATTGGTCAGAGCACAGTGTTGCCATGTGTTGCTTCAGGACTTCCTGCACCAGCCATGAGATGGATGAAAAATGAGGAGACACTTGACACAGAAGGGTAAATGTTGTCTGCCTAAAAGCCTTTTTCTGTCTGAGCTTGAGACCATCTAATCCTTTTTGGAACTATTATTAATAAAAAATGATTACTTTATTTAAACACATTATAATGCTCATATGTCATCCTTGAAATATGTTCATGTGCTGTATATTATTATGATATTTAAAGAAAAAACATGCTTTCAAAATATTAAAGGATAATCATTCCATTTGTTCTTTCTGAAACTTTGATATACTTAACTTACAGCTTTGGGGTTTCCTTCCCTAAATTGTTTCAAGAACTTGTAGTCTCAACTAGCCTGAGTCTTCTCTTTCATTCTTATCATTTTTAAAAATCTTTTTTCCTTGCTCAAATAGTGTAAGCAAATGGATTCTTCATCCTTTGCTTTTGCCTTTTGAAATCATACTAGCTCTGCTCTATTCACGAATTCTGCATCTTCCACAAAAGCCTTCTGTCTTAACATCACCCATCCTATCCTCTGTCTCCTTTCCCGCCTCATTTTTTCCTTATGTAATGAGTACTTTACTCAATTGAATTCTCTCTCATATGAGAACTGGTGTGATAGTGATGATAGCAGTAGTCAGGCATGTTTTCAAAACAGAGCTGTCCTGTACATTATAGGATGTATACTCACATCTCTGGTATCCTACCCAGTAGATGCTAAAAGCACTTCCAGTTGTGATGACTAAAAATGTCTCCAGTTTTTAGATGTCCTTTGCTTGAGGGTAGGGGACAAAATCACTCCCAGTTGAGGACCACTCTACTGGAGCAGTGCTGTCCAATGAAAATATAATATAAACCACATATGTAAATTAAAGTTTTCTGGTAGCCACACTAAAAAAGTAAGAAGTATGTGGGCTGGGGCTGTAGGTCAGTGGTAGAGTGTTTGCCTTGCATGTGTGATGCACTGAGTTTGATCATCAGCACCACATAAAAATAAATAAATATATTGTGTCCATCTACGGGTAAAAAAAGTATTTAAAAATTAAGAAGTATGTGTGCACTACTAAATATACTAATATTTTATATGGTGTGCTGCTTAGAAAATAATTTATACCGCTTTAGTTTGTACATTAAAATGAAATAAGATAAACTAGTTCTTCAGTCATACTGCCCACATTTCAAGTCTTAGAGGTCTCATGTGGTTAGTGGCCATAAATTTGAATAAAGGAAAGTGTAGAGTTTCCTACTTGAGTTATTCATAGTGAACCGACAATCTTAATTTGTGCATCTCAGTAGCCAAGACATGTTGCTGGGAATGAGGTTTCCACTGCTCAACTCCACTAAAATTTGGTAGACCAAGGCTGGTGAAGAAAAGCAGGTTTATTAAAACAGGCTTTGAGGAAGACAGAGGAGATCTTTTTCTGTTGCAAATCTCTGTCTTCAAGGGCTCAGGGACCCTAAGAGAAGAGGAGGTTCAGTTGGACAAAAGGCAGGAAATTCTCTCTCTCTCACACACACACACACACACACACTTGAGCTGTACTAGTCAGAAATATGTTTCAGTTCCTTGATGCCTCCGTGGGCCAGGGGATAGCCTTTTAATTTTTATTCTGAGGTGGAGAAAAGTCCAGATGCAGAAAGTGGTCATCAGGAAGTTGTATTTAATTTTAAAGAGGCTCTGTTTCAAATATGGAAAGGAATATTTATTCAGTCAGCTAGGTGATCGGCCTTCAGTGATACTGGGGACGATGAATCAGATTGTTCCTCACATATTCATTAGCAGAACTAATGGTATTATCCCCAATATTGCCTGATTTCTTCCTCATCATTCATCCATTCACCCACCACTTTGCCCATGTTTTGCTTTTTCCTTTCTTCCTGTTTTTCTTCCTATCTAAATATGAGGTGAAGAACTTATAAGACTTCAAAGAAATTTCTTTTAAAATTTTGGTAACTACAACATAGAGAATCTTGAAAATAGAGGAGAAAAATATTTCAAGCTCTTAGAGCATGAGTTTTAATTGAAGGGCTGGGGTTGTAGCTCAGTGGTAGAGTGCTTGCCTAGCATGAGCGAGGTACTAGGTTGATCCTCCGCACCATATAAAAAACAAATGCATAAAAAATAAAGGTTAAATTCTTAAAAAAAATTTAATTGACCACATGTTAAAATATCAGGGGTAAGAAACCGGAATAGATTTATTTTAAAACTTGTACATTTTATCATTATAGAAGGACATTCTGAAGATCTAAATAAATTTTTTCATATAAAAAGTGAGAATTTCAGGCTAGGGTTGTGGCTCAGTTGTAGAGCACTTGCCTAGCATGTGTGAGGCACTGGGTTAGATTCTCGGCACCACATTAAATAAATTAATTAAGTAAATAAAAATATTGTGTCCAACTACAACTAAAAAAAAATTTTAAAAAGTGAGAATTTCTATGATTATCATCGGTTCAGCAATTATTCACAAATAATTATTAAATGCTGAATATATCAGGTACCATACTACGTACTAAAAATAGAGTGATGGACCAAACACATAATTGATAGTCCTGTAACTGTTAAGAAGATTGAATTTGTAATTTCAAAACTCCTGAAAAAGAAATCTCAAGACCCAGATGGTTTCACTCAAGAATCCTATCAATATTTTAAAAAGAATTAACTCCAATTCTATACAGTCTGTCCAGAAAATTGAAAAGAAAGAGTTGAAAGTAATATTATCGTGATACCAAAATTAAAGACAATATCAAAAATAAACTTTAGACCTCCTAGGAATATAGACACAAAAATTCTTAACAAAATATTAGCAAATAGAATTCATTGATACATAAAAGTAATTATATGCCATGACCAAATGGAGTTTATTCTAGAGATGAAAGGTTAAGTATTCTAAAATCAACCAGTGTAATCCACCATACTATCAGGCTAAAGGAAAAACCAACGTTTCATGATAAAGCATTTGACAAAATTGAACATGCATTCTTGTTTTTCAAGATCCCAGAAAAATAACTTAGTTGAAAAATCCTACATCAGACATTATACTTGATGATAAAAGGCTAGAACCTTCCCTCCTAAGAACAGGAATAAGTTAAAGAAATCCATTGTCATAGTGTTGGAAGTTCTAGCCAATTCAATAAGACAAGAAAAAAGAAAGGCATAGAGATCAGAAAGGGGGGGAAAAAAACAATTTTTATTTGTAGATAGTGTGTTTGTCTGTATCCCAAGAAACCTACCAAAAACAAAACAAAGCAGAAACAAAAACAAAATAAAAACCCAAAAACCCTTTAGAATTAATCGAGTTTACAGGATATAAGATAAATTTAAAAATTAATTGTTTTTCTATATATTAGGAGTGAACACCTGAACACCAAAATTGCAAATATGGTACCATTTGCATTCACCCACAAGAATTGAAATAGATGTAAATTTAACAGAACTTGTGTAGGAATTATATGCTAAAATCCACAAAATGTTATTGCAAGAAATCAAGACTTAAATAAATGGAGAGACATACTGTGTCAAGGATTAGAAGACTCAACATAGTAAGGATGTCAGTTTTCTTCAAATTGAGCCAGGTGTAATGGCACACACCTGTAATCCCCATGACTTGGGAAATTGAGGTAGGATTGCAAGTTTGAGGTCAGTCTAGGCAACCTAGACTTTGTCTCAAAATAAAAAATAAAAAGGGCTGGGGATGTAGCTTGGTGCAAATTTTCTTCAAACCGATATACAACTTAATTCAATTCTCATCAAAATCTTGGTAAGATTTCCTTATAAACAAGATTATTCTAAAATTTATATGGAAAGGGAAAGAACTTAGAATAGAAAGAACAGTTTTTAAAAAGTGAGGAAAATAAATCTATCTGATTTCAAGACTTATTGCACTGCTACAGTAATCAAGAGGTATGGAATTGTTGGAATATCAATACAAAGGTTAATGCAACAGAATAGAGAACCCAGGCATAGACCCACAGAGATATGCCCAACTAATTTGCAAGGTGCAAAAGTGATTCACTGAAGGAAAGATAGCCTTTTCAACAAATACTCCTACATTTATACGTAGATAAAAATATGAGTCTTAAGTCTCAGATTTCATATAGGAATTAACTTAAAATGGATCACAGACCTGAGTATAAAACAAACAAAAATTTAGAAAACCCATACATAATTAGGATCTAGGGCTGGGCAAAAGGGTTTTAGGCCTCATGCCAAAAGTACCATCCATATGAGAAAAATTTGACGAATTGAATGTCATCAAAATTAAAAGTTTTTGCTCCATAAAAGACCCCATTAAGAGGATGAAAAGATAAGCTGCAAGGTAGAAGAGAATATTTAGAAACCACATACCCAACAAAGGACTAGTATCTAGAATATATATAAAGATCTCTCAAAAACTCAAGAGTAAAAAGCATGTAATCCAGTTTGAACATGGGCAAAAGACATGGAGAGCTGTTTTGCAAACAGAATTACACTTGGCAAATAAGAAAAGTGTTTTGACATTATTAGCTATTAGGTAAATGCAAATTAAAACCACCAGGAGATATCACTACATTCCTGCCAGAAGAGCTTAAAAAAAAAAAAAGTGGCAATACTGAATTCTGGCAAGGATATAGAGAAATGGGATGGGTCATTCTGACATTGCTTGTTTGGAATGTAAAATGGTACAGGCATTGTAGAAAAATGTTTGGCCATTTTTTATGAAACTTCCATATAACCTAGCAATTGCATTCTCAAGCTCTTGGGCATTTATCTCATAGAAATGAACTTACATTCACACAAAAACGTGCACAAGTGTTTTAATACCTGTCTTTCATTGAGTGAATAGTTAAATAAACCATAGTAGATCCATAGCATGTACTAAGCAATAAAAGGAACAAAATATTGATCAGTCTCCAGAGAATTATACTGACTAAAAAAAGAGTTTATAAAGATTACATACTATACAATCCTATTTATAAAGTTTTTTTTTTTTTTTTGTGTGTGTGTGTGTGTGTGTGTGTGTTTGGCAGTACAAAGCTTGAACCCAGGGGGACTCTACCTATGAACTATATCCCCACCCCTTTTTATTTTGAGACAGGGTCTTGGCTGGCCTGGGATTTGAGATCCTCATGCCTCAGCCTCCTTGAGTAGCTAGCATTAGAAGTTTGTGCCTGTGCACCTGGATATGTACCATTCTTAAAATGGCAAAATTACAAAACTGGAAATCATGATTAGCAGCTGCCAATGGCTGATCAGGAGATGAGAATGGGAGAGAAGTTATGTATGAGTTTAAAAGGTATAATGGTTATGGAAATGTTCTGTGTCCTGATGGTATCCTGATAGTGATATTGTGCTCTGGTTTTACAAGATGCTACCATGGGTCTGGGATAAAGATAAAGCATATGTGAAACCTCTTTGTATTACTTATAAGAATTACATGTGAGATTGTATTTACTTCAGAAGAAAAGTTTAATGAAAGTAAGCCAATGAGAGAGTAAATTTTGTGCCAGAGGAATATCTATAAGCCTTAGTTTTCCTCTACCATCCTTTCCTGCTGTAGTGTCTCAGAAGTCTTATTATGCCCTAGACCTTGCTACTTCCTATCTTCTCCAGTGCCTTCAAGAATCCCCCCACCCTTTTTTTTCTTTTGGACACAATACCTTTATTTTATTATTTTGTTTTTATGTGGTGCTGAGGATCGAACCCAATGCCTCACACATGCTAGGTAAGTGCTCTACCACTGAGCTGCAATCCCTTTTTTGACATTTTCCCCTCTCTGTTAGCTCCTTCTCTTTTGCCTATTAAAGGATTTGCCTCTTTCACTCAAATAACTATAACAAACAAAAAAACTAAATAAAGCAAGCACTATTTCCCTTTGCTTCTCTTTCACACTTTTGTAACCTTAGGAATCTTCTTTGGCATTTGTTTCTTCCTCAGCTTCAATATCCAGTCCATTTGCAAGATTTGTCATTTTACTTCTTAGGTATCTCTGCAATACAACCATGCGGTTACTAGGTATTCTTAGCTATTGTCACTTCAGTAGCTGCAGTAGCCTCCTGTTCTTGCCACATGTAATCTTGCCTCATTCCAAATATATCTTCACACTCCTGCCAGAGCAGCCTTTCAAAGTTCATCATATGACCACCAACCCCTAACCCACTTTTAAACATTTTTTAATGGATTTCTATTGTTCAAGATTAAGGACACAGATTCTTAAAACGGCTTTACTTCTGTCAAGCTAGCAATTATTTGTTAAATGAAACAGAGTCTCTATCCTTATATTTATCATCATTTAAGAGTAAGTCAGTACTTTGCGCCTTCTTATTACTGCTATAGTTAGTTGTTTGTTTTTCAGTTCTGAGTCATTGCAATAACTTCATGACCAAACTTCAGATTCTAGTCTTTTTCTATTCCCTCTGTTTCTTCACAAAATCTGATGATGCCATTAATTTTCTTAAAAGCCTTCCTCCCCTGCTTCTACTTTGGTAGGGGAAAGTCTCCTTAGCATACCAAGCTCTTGCATATTGACCAAAAGCTGCTTAGGGACATACACAGCCCTCATTTTCAGCTACACTGAACTTAACTTGGGTCCCTTTGCCACACATACTTTTTCACGTATTCTTCCTTCTGTCTGCATATTAGAATATTGGAGTTCTAAAGACTTGGTTGTTTACTGTGAGTCATCAACATGTTAAATGAATTCTACCACCCAAATGGATATTCTTCCCAGTCTTCTTTTAAAAAGAGTAAAATCGGGCTGGGGATGTGGCTCAAGCGGTAGCGCGCTCGTGGCATGCGTGCGGCCTGGGTTCGATCCTCAGCACCACATACAAACAAAGATGTGGTGTCCGCCGAAAACTAAAAAATAAATATTAAAAAATTAAATAAATAAATAAAAAGAGTAAAATCAATACCATTCAGAAAGATTGAATACTACTGTACTTGTACTCACCAATGCCAAGTATCCTGCATAGCAAATATCAGGAATAATTTTTAGTATAATTATTAGATAAACTGTCTTGCTTCTGAAAATGTTATATCAATTTGTGTTTCAAATTATGTGCATTTTAGATAGATATTATGTATATATTGCGGATTTCTCATTTGGGAACATTTGTAAAATGCAGGGTCTTAATTTTTGCAAAATTTTCTTATTTAATGAAGCACTAAATCCTGTCGTCTTTTTTTCCTGGACATTCTTGCTCTATTCCATTGTATCTTCTTTATTTCATCACATAAAGTTGGGATTTATAGGTATAATTAAGACCTTTCAGATAGGAATATCACTTGATAAAGTTTAATCATTGACTCCTAGAGTAGTCTTTCTTGGAGAAGTCATCAAACCTGATTCTGGATTTCAGCTTTTCAGGTCCAGACACTCAATCTCGTTTATCAGATTTAGAAAGACCAATTACCTATACTTAGAACATTCTGAGATTTAAGCCAGAATAGATCTTTCTTTACTTCAAATGGGAAGAATAAATGTAGTAAGGACTAAATAGTTATTTCCTCTGATTTTCCTCCATAAGAAATTTTGCATGAAAAGTCAAATAATAATAATATATTTTTTCTTGGAAATACATACAGATAGAAGTATAACAATACTAAGATTTGGAAAGAATCTAGCCTATAAAATCAGTTTAGACTGGTTTAAAATTAAAATATATTTATTATGTGTTTGATGCTATATTTTGTATTTATGCCATCTATGAAAATAACAAAGTGGCAGCTTTTTTTTATCCACTTGTAGAATTAATTACATTCCTTGCTTTATGTCAGGTGCCTTTGTAGGTTTGATTTAGTTTACAAATTTACTTTATAAATTTTTAAAAATTTTTATTCTTTTTAGTAACATACATGGACTTTGTAAAAATTTGATGAAACAATTGACTTGTAATTTCTTCCTTGATGTTACAGGATTTAGTGTTTTCTTGGTCATTACCAACAAATATCCTTGTTGGTAATGGCGTGATGATGGCTGATTTGTACACAATATCAGACCTGCTGTCTGGTAGCTGTAATGTCTTTTTCTTCCCGCCTTCCCTCTCCTTTTCTATCCAAGCCACGATAGGAAATTTTCAGTGGGCACTGTCATCCCAGGATTTACTATTTCTGATCTGACATTATGTACTCTTTATTCTTCTTTTCTTTTCTTTATACTTCTTATCTACTAGCATGGCATAACTGGTGGTCAATCTCAGATTGATTCCAAACTTCAGAATTAAATAATTTCTAAAATACTGGCTGGAGTTGGGAGGCAGGATGGTGAAGTGGAATAAAGGTGATATTCCTTTGATACCTAGAAGTGTCAGAAATAATTCAATGTAACATTTGATTTGTATTTATGATGTTTATGCATATAAAATTGTGAGCAAGACAAATTGGAATTAAATTCTAATAATTTTATGGTAGTTTCAATTTGTGACCATATTCATAATAATACTGTTTTCTCCTAAGTGTTTTTCCTATTTTATATGCAGAGTTTCTTAGGTATTATTTCCCTCATACTAAAATGTATCCTTGTTTTTTTATGCAGTTCTGAAAGATTGGTCTTGCTGGCAGGTGGTAGTCTGGAAATCAGTGATATCACTGAGGATGATGCTGGGACTTATTTTTGTATAGCTGACAATGGAAATGAAACAATTGAAGCTCAAGCAGAGCTTACAGTACAAGGTATGTAAATATTTACTGTATAAATAAAAATATCCTGTGTCTGCTAATTGTTTTAACATTAAAATAGTTGTGGAAGAAGCAATACAGCATCACAGTTAAAATTCCAAAAAACTTTTAGGGTTGGGGTTGTGGCTCAGCTGAAGAGCGCTCACCTAGCACGTGTGAGACCCTGGGTTTGATCCTTAGCACCACATAAAAATAAACAAATAAAGGTATTATGTCTAACTATCAGTCCATACTAATTTTTAAAAAATCCTAACTTTTAGACCTGTATCCTTGGGATCAAATTCTGGGTCTTATATTTCCTAATAACTATATTAATATAGGAGATTTACCTAATCTATCTGAACTTCATTTCCCGCATCTGTAAAGTGGAGATAATAAGAATACCTACCTCATTGTAGATTAAGAACTACTCCTTGAAAAATTCCTAAAATAGTGACTAGAATATAAGAGCTCAATGCTAATTATTGATTTTTTTTTATTGTAATGGTAATAGTATAAGGAAGGACAGTGTGATCTGGGGCATCTGGAAGGTTTTGTTTGCTTTTCTTGTCTCAGTATGCTTTTTCACAAGGTATCTGTTCTCTGATCCAGAACATGTCTCTCTTCAGCATTCCCACTCCCTTCCTTTGGGTAAATAGATTATATAGAAAAGAGCGTGTTATAGTTTGGACATGAGGTGTCCCCCAAAGCTCCTGTTAATGCAGGAATATTCAGAGGTAAAGTGATTGAATTATGAAAGCTATGACCTATCAGTCCATACTAATTTAAATGGATTGACTGGGTGGTAACTATAGACAGGTAGAGCATGGCTGGAGGAGATTGGTCACTGGGGGTGTATCTTAGAAGGTGCATCTTCCCTGTAGTCCCTTGTCTCTTCCCTTGACCTCTCTCTGATCTGCTTTCCTCCTTGGGGCCCTTCCCCCATAATGTGCTGCCTCATCTTGGGCCCAGAGCAGTGGAGTTGGCTGTCTTTGGCCTGAGACCTCTAAAACCATGAGCCCCAAATAAACTTTTTCTCCTCTAAATTGCTCTTGTTTGATGTTTTGGTCACAATGACAAAAAAGGTCACTAAAACAGAATGCAAAGTACTTTTCTGTGTAATTTGGTTTGATGATTTGATGTTTATTTTGGTCTGTTCAGCTAATGCTGATCATTGCTGCAAGAATAGTTAGTAGTTCTTTTCTTTCTCTTATATACTTGTCTTCCCCCTTATATGTTCCTTGATTTAGCAGTCAGGGAAAATAATGACACGTACTTATAGTTTCTTATTTTCATCTCTCCTGCCATTCCACTATGTGGAAATTACCCTTAAAAGAATATTTGCTCTCTCTCCTATGATTTGTCTGAGCATCATTTCAGAAATTCTTAGGATCTTCTTCATTAATTTTAGAGAAATCCAGCACTGCTTGAATATATAAAGATACAGGCTATCTTGTGTTATCTTTTATCAACTTGTCCCAGATTATATTGCATTTGATAGAATACACTGCAATTTGTATTTTGGAGTTGTTAGCCACCCTTTAGTTCTATTTTACATGAAAGTTTGTTTATCATGGTACATTTTGTGGGGTTCAGACATGCATGTAGAGTACATACAATCCTACTCCCAGTAGTCACTAGGAGATTCAAATATGTGGGAAAATAGAATAAAAGATAATGACAAGAGCAAAAGTTAATGAAATTAAAAAAGAATTAAAACAATGTCAGCAAAGCCAAAGTTGAGTCTATGTAAAGAATAGCAACATTGATTAACCTCCGGCAAGACTTACACAACTTGGCAAAGGTCTTTATCTGCATCAGTGGTTGGCAACTTACAGTTTAATGGATCGTATCTTTCTGCTTTTTTTTTTTTTATAGACTATAAGCTAAAAGTAGTTCTTAAACATTTTTAAATTGTTGAAAAATACCAGAAGAATAACATGTGATACATGAACATATTGTGATACATGAAAATTTTATGAGACTCAGATTTTGTTGTTCATAAATAAAGTTTTATTGAAACACACTATAATCATTTATGTATTATATAAGAACACTTTCATGCTGTAACACAGAGAATTGAATAGAGACACTTTGGCTTACTAAGCCTTAAGTATTTACTCTCTGGTCCTTAACAGAAAGATTTGTAACCCCAGATATAGTCTTGAACTTCTGCAGGCTAGTAAGGTAAACAAAGACTGATAAAAATGGACAAAACACTGGGGTAGTTACCTCACAGAACATCTCTAGGTAGCTACTAAATATTTTAAAAAGTGGTTTTATCATCAGTCTTCAGAGAAATGCAAATAAAAACCATGCAATATCATTATTCTCCACTAAAAAGACCAATAATATTAGATGTTAGTTAGGATAAGAAACATGGGGATCTCTAATGAATTGCTGAAAGTAGTATACACTGATATAATCACTTTAAATTACTGTTTTGTAGAATCTGTTAAAGTTGCATACAAAAATATCTCATGAAACGAGTATTTCTATATTTATCAGTATATACATTAAAAACACTAAATAAAGTCCTTAATCAGCTGTATTCACAGTAAATCAAAACCGGGACTAATTTAAATGTCCCCTCAAAATTCAAACATCAAATGAGCAAACAATATTCCAGTCATACAGTGGCATATTATTTGCAATGAAAGTTGACAGACAGCTACTACATTTGACAAGAGTAAATCTCACAAACACCCTTGAAAGAAAGAAGCCAGACACAAGAATACATACTATATAAGTTTGTTTTATTAAGTTCAAAAACTTATGTATATTCTTAGAAGTCAGGACAGTGATTACTCTTGGAGAAGGACAGTTATGACTGAATATACAGCCAGACTTCTGGTGTACTAATGTTTTCTTTCTATACTGTACTTTCTGAAGTGAAATCTGTACAGCTCAAGCTCTGCTCTTCATATATGCCATGTAAGGCCTTCTCTCCATTTTTTTCAAAGAGAGAATTCATTATGTTAAAAACATATTTGGAAAATTTTGTTTTGAGCCCATCCCATAACTGAAAGGTCCCCCCCACTACCCCCAATAGGGAAAGTAGTTTATGAGAAATAATTGGAGATATATAAATATAGTCATGCTTGTCTGACTTCTGTTATTTTTTTAAGAAGTTATAGTTCCAGGAAATGCCATAGTGAGTGTTAATGCAGAAAAGGTTATAAGTTCATTCTTCATCTGTTAAATATTTCAAATGTATTATCTTATCATTAACTCCTGGGATTTCTGCACATGCTGTGACGTGAATTAGCCTGTTGTGTATTTCCTGTCATCTCAGATTGTTGATAACAGTTAAAATGGGTGATGAATTGTTTTGTCTTTTTTTTTTTAAAGCAGGAATTTTTCCTTTTCTATTAATATAGTTGTATTGGTCTGTGATCTACATCTCCCATCCTCCATCCAAAAAGAAAAATTTCCGTTCTTGTTTTTATGGAAAAAATTGATAAATTCTAAATTGGCTGCCTTCTTGACATTGTCATTACTTCTAACTAATCTATAACATTTTAAACTCCATCGTCTTTTTTCTACTCTACTCATTTCTAGCCACATTAAGACATTGGTTTCCCTTTTTTTCTCCCAGTCTTCTTTATGATAATCATAACATCCACCTGCCTTTCATCGAACTCTCCACGCTTTTGGCTTCAGGATAAAAAGCAAATTCCTTATAACATATATACATTCAGAACCTCCATAGTCAATGTTGAAAAAGTTGTTTACTAGGGAGTCACCACAGAGTAGTGGTTAAGAGCAGTATCTACTCAGTGTGCCTGGAGGCCAATTTAAACTCTGGATACTGAGCTATATGAACTTAGCCAGATTATTTAACTTAACCTGTGTTTTAGTTTTTTTTTTTTTTAATCAGTTAAATGGGTTCTTATAAGGATTAAGCAAATTCCTGGCACTTTCCATATAAATCTGGGATGAATAGCAGTTATCTTCACTAAACTGCATGTAAGTTTTCCAGTGTACTATACTGTTTGACAACAGTGTTCTCTTACCCTCAACTACATTTTCCTAATAGACCTTCAAGGTCAGTTTACCTAACCGCCCCACCTCCCCCAAGATTTTGTTAACCAAAACAAAAACTTCTTCATCCTCAGCCATAATTAGTATCTTAAAATGACTCTTTACCAGTAGTACCTTTTACTTATTAGTTAGTATGCATGTTCCTTCTACTAGACTGGGGTCTTTATCAATAGGGGCTGATCTTAATCATTTTTATCATACACTAGTAACAAATAATTGTTGAATGAATGAGTAAAACTTTGTATTGAAATTGCTAAATATGGAAGCTGGAGTGATTTGTTTATGGTTATTTTATTATTTATGTTTTCTTTGCACCTTGTTTTTCATTGACTTTCAGTGGTATAAGTAACTGAGATTTTAAGAAAAAAAAAGAAGAAATTGGGATTTAAAAAAATCTTCTGAAAGGTTTTCCCAGAGGCAGATGGAACATTACCCTTACTTATATAATTGAGGTCATAATCCTCATTTTCATGTCATAAATGTTCATAAACAGTGCTTGATCAATTTTATTCTAATTTTTGACTTTTTAAGGCCTAAGTCAACATGATTTTTTATTTTTCCAAAAAATAATGAAGCCAAGGCCTGGGAGGTGTATTTCAGTGGGAGAGCACTTGTGTCACAATGCCAGGAGACCCTGAGTTCAATCCCCAATAATGCAAAAATAGAACTAAACCTGAAACCATTAAAAATGAACTTTCCTCCATCTCTGCTGCTTAAAACCCTCTTACCTTTATTTGCTATCATGATTCAAGTATCTGTGCATTGAATCCCTTCACCTTTAATTCCACCTCTATGAGATGCTCCACTGGTTTGACTGGATAACATTGTTTGATGTTTTTTCCTTTTATTTCTCTGTCCAGTTAATTTTTTCTTCATGGGAATCTTTTATTCTGCTTGCTTATTGAAATATTGGTGTTCTAAAAAGGTCTGTCTTCATTCTAACAGTCTTCACACTGTTAGCTCATGATTTC